TTTTTTGTAATGCACTGTTGGTTGAATGACCTGTATATTTCTGAAAAAATTCAATTGGATGTTTGATATCACGTAATTTCAACACCACCAAAACCAACACAATCAACAGTAAAAAAGTACCTTCTAATAAACTTGTAATTACCGTCTGTAAACACCAAGTACTGTGTGTGAGAGAAAGAGAAGTATGGTTCACGTATGTATAATCTTTATCATTATTTTTTCGGTGTCATCGGCATTGACTCCTTTGGTCATAAGTCTAATGCACTGGGTAGGTTGTGTTAATAAATCACCGAGCCACCTAGGGAGCAGCATGGCTAATCGGCGTCCAATAAAAGTAGCAGAGCTGATTATATTATATTTAACATTATAATTAACATAGGCGAAACATCCCAAAGTTTTGAATTTGTGAAAATCAAAAGTTTGGTTCACATTTATTCCGTTATATAAATCCGAATTGTGGAACATCGTACCATCAATGATTTTATTACAACACTGAACCACACATATCCGTCTTGAGGATTTTTCTGCAGTGCTTGTGGTTTGTCTTAAAAAATATGAGACATAAGAAAACGAATATAAAAAACAATGTTATAATGAAACTCAACAAAAATATCATCGTTTGCTACTGAAGCTCAGCAACAACGAGACATCGAACAAAACAGTAAAATAGTAGATACATTCTTGATTATAATGAATAAGAATAGAGCAGGACCGCCACATTGCCACTGGTACTATGAGAACAATTTGATATACTGCCGTACGGTATTGTCGAATCACATTGTTGTACCAATAGCTTTCAAAGATAATAGTTCTTGATGGGCTTCTTTGCAGTACGAATTTCAAACTATGAGTCAGCCTATGAATAGCCAACATAACCTAACATCATCAAAGACTGCTTTTTCTTGGAATTGGAAATCTCTCATAACTCAAGTATATTTTGTGGTTGATTTTGTTTATTAGATAGTGATAGATATAGGAAATACTGCGACATTATCATGTAGGAATCGAATTCTCATTTGAAATGTGACTTTCATCATTTTTTTGTGTCATATCAGCAACGGTCAAGTTTGAACGTTTGAATTAACAAAGAATGATTCTCCATATAACTGAAACTTATTGATTTACTTGAGATACATTATCATTTCGATCATTCCATCGTCATAATACGCCTTCGTTTTCAAATCGTGGATTTTTCACATCTCATATTTTCTATAACCTACAGGCGAAGTGGATTTCTCGTTATCAAGTAAGTTGTGGAAGACAAAAAGTCAACTCGTGAACCAGATCTACAATATCTCTCCAATCGAGGATTTTTAAGTTTTCCCCCCCAATGTTGGTCCCATTACCTGCTGTACCCCCTCTGACTATTCTATTTTATTTTCCACTAGAATCGTAAATACCAATATCGCATGTCACTAGATTGTGCATGAAGAAACAGACTTCACCATTTTAGACCACAGTATTTACTAGTGCAGTATTGTTTGCATGCAAGACTTATTCTGAGAAATGCAACAGTTGCAATATCTAGTACATAGATACATTTATTTGCTAATCGTTCAACAGAGAAACCGCTAACATAACAACGAAAAGTAGTTTCAGAACCATTAGTAGAAATGAAATGTATATATTCACCATAGTGCAGTTTTTCTCAACTGAAAAGACTTTTGAATCTAGCATCTTTAGGATGGATATATGTATATGGGAAGTATGTGTGCTAATGAACTGACTCATCAATAAATTCACGTATTCAATGTCATCCAGTTTGTACTAGTGAAACTGTTAGGATTTATCAACTTTAAAATCGCAATAACTCGGGAAAGATGCCTCTAAAGGAAAAAAGTCACTCCATTATTTTTGTGGAGAATTTTACGATCTACAAACTATCTCTGAACCATTTTTCCGGTAGCTTCCACCATTCAAGAGATATACGAGGAAAACAAAAATTTGTGACATTTGGCCTCGAATAATAAACAAGCCCCAAGTGGGATCGGTAGGATTTTTTGACAGTCAATTTATAATGACGTATTTAGGGTCTGTACAAAAACTCGGCTTGTTGGGAATTAATACAAACTGGAATGCCTATTTTGCCTGGGCTATTATTGTTGAACGAAAACTATGAAGGGTGTTTCCTAAATACGGTACGAAACTTCAGAGGGTGATTTGTCAGGTCGTTTCAAGAAAATAAGTTGCTATGAACACATGTCCTGAGTTGCTGCGTTTGTGAGATACAGGGCGTTGAAATTAAAACAAACGCATTTATAAAATATCATAAATATCCTTACATCGATTTGGTTGAAATTTGCTACAGTTATATTTAGCCCGAACTAGATTGAAATTATTAGGTCCAGTGGCGTCTCAATGGGCACCACAACCACCAATATTCAGAAAAAAAGAACGCCTTTGACTGTTTCGTATTTTTTCGTCGGTTTAGAGAAAAAAACACTTCTAAAATCTATCTATGCACAGCATAAAATAAAAACCAAAAGTAAATAATAAACAATTTTGTTCTCAAAGAAAATGAGCAAAATGTTCATCTTCTGATAAAATACACGACTGCAATCGATTCAGCTTCTTCTAGTTCAGGCGTTGTTACAGTTTCTGCTGTTCCACTACCTGCATTTTTATTAAAACTCCCAGTTTCACATACTCTTGCATATGGCGTTCTGAATGTTTTAGCACATGGAATTACTCTGTTAAGATATCTGTCCTGGTAAATTATCTGTGAAAATTCATCGTGCTTCTTCCGCATTTCAATTTGCTAATCCATAAATAACTTTTTCCTCGAAACAACCTAACGAATCACCCTCTGAAGTTCCGTTACATAGTTAGGAAACACCCCGTATATGTAGTGTATTCATTTGTGGTCAATGGCTTAGTTTTCGAAGCGAAGAAGATACCTGTACCTGAATTAGTTAAATTGCGTAAAGCGTCAACATAAAAACGCTGTATGCAATCAGGTGAATTGCGTAAAGCATCAACATGGATACGGTACTGGCTTTACGCTTTACGCAGTCGCAATACCTATCGGAGATGACTGGGTATTACTGTCACTCGCCCCAGCGAAACGTCAAGAATAAATTCCAAAAACCGACGGTTTTCAAACCCGAGAAATAGTGACAACTTTTACACCTGCAAACAAACGATAAATATCATAATTTCAAGGAAAGAAAATCAATCAAAACTCACTGTAGTTTATTCCAATGAGTGTTCATAATGTTTACCCTCCATTTCCTGACAAATCATTTTTTTTACATTTTGGAAAAATGTTCTTGAGGTAATTTCATTGCAAGTATATCTTTTTCTTTCCACAAGTTTTGAAACGAACTGCAATTGTGTAAGGTACACTTTGGATCTCACGTAAACAGACTTCACCATTTTAGACCACAGTATTTACTAGTGCAGTATTGTTTGCATGCAAGACTTATTCTGAGAAATGCAACAGTTGCAATATCTAGTACATAGATACATTTATTTGCTAATCGTTCAGCAGAGAAACCGCTAACATAACAACGAAAAGTAGTTTCAGAACCATTAGTAGAAATGAAATGTATATATTCACCATAGTGCAGTTTTTCTCAACTGAAAAGACTTTTGAATCTAGCATCTTTAGGATGGATATATGTATATGGGAAGTATGTGTGCTAATGAACTGACTCATCAATAAATTCACGTATTCAATGTCATCCAGTTTGTACTAGTGAAACTGTTAGGATTTATCAACTTTAAAATCGCAATAACTCGGGAAAGATGCCTCTAAAGGAAAAAAGTCACTCCATTATTTTTGTGGAGAATTTTACGATCTACAAACTATCTCTGAACCATTTTTCCGGTAGCTTCCACCATTCAAGAGATATACGAGGAAAACAAAAATTTGTGACATTTGGCCTCGAATAATAAACAAGCCCCAAGTGGGATCGGTAGGATTTTTTGACAGTCAATTTATAATGACGTATTTAGGGTCTGTACAAAAACTCGGCTTGTTGGGAATTAATACAAACTGGAATGCCTATTTTGCCTGGGCTATTATTGTTGAACGAAAACTATGAAGGGTGTTTCCTAAATACGGTACGAAACTTCAGAGGGTGATTTGTCAGGTCGTTTCAAGAAAATAAGTTGCTATGAACACATGTCCTGAGTTGCTGCGTTTGTGAGATACAGGGCGTTGAAATTAAAACAAACGCATTTATAAAATATCATAAATATCCTTACATCGATTTGGTTGAAATTTGCTACAGTTATATTTAGCCCGAACTAGATTGAAATTATTAGGTCCAGTGGCGTCTCAATGGGCACCACAACCACCAATATTCAGAAAAAAAGAACGCCTTTGACTGTTTCGTATTTTTTCGTCGGTTTAGAGAAAAAAACACTTCTAAAATCTATCTATGCACAGCATAAAATAAAAACCAAAAGTAAATAATAAACAATTTTGTTCTCAAAGAAAATGAGCAAAATGTTCATCTTCTGATAAAATACACGACTGCAATCGATTCAGCTTCTTCTAGTTCAGGCGTTGTTACAGTTTCTGCTGTTCCACTACCTGCATTTTTATTAAAACTCCCAGTTTCACATACTCTTGCATATGGCGTTCTGAATGTTTTAGCACATGGAATTACTCTGTTATTATATCTGTCCTGGTAAAATATCTGTGAAAATTCATCGTGCTTCTTCCGCATTTCAATTTGCTAATCCATAAATAACTTTTTCCTCGAAACAACCTAACGAATCACCCTCTGAAGTTCCGTTACATAGTTAGGAAACACCCCGTATATGTAGTGTATTCATTTGTGGTCAATGGCTTAGTTTTCGAAGTGAAGAAGATATTACATTTACGAGTTATGAAAAAATTGATCAATCAACTAATTCAACATAATATTGCAACTGTATTAATTAATAGTCAGTCGTTAGCATAAATATTCTCCCATCAAAAGTTAGAATAGTAGTAAATAGACATTAGTTTACTGATAGTTGGGTGTACTAGATTGGTTTATGGTTTACAGATGACCATCATCCTCCTCCCACTTTCACTCCACCAGAGTTGCCCAAGAAAATTCATATCCGAGGTATTTTAGTGATATTTTAGTTACCTTCCCTACCCGCACAAAGATTCAGTTTGAGTTTCCGATTTGTGTTAATTTGCCGTTTCCCACATCATCCAGAGACATCGGAGCAATGTTTTCATTTCAACAATCTCACCCATCATTTTGTTCAACGAACAATTCACTCTCGAACAGATTTGGTACCACTCCTTTTCTGAATATAGACGTACTTCCATTCGGATATCATCGACGTAGTTCATCCATCTCATAGTATCATGCAACTGTCATGCTTCTTGATAAACTTTGCTAACCTCATCACCTAACAAACCAGCTTTCTGAAATCACCTATACAGGGCAGCTATAAATGTGTCACAGAAAATGTTTTTTTTTTAAATCATGACAAATTGGTACGGTATTACTTGTACCAGTATCAGGAAGAATAGTGATTGATTTGGCCATCTTACAGTGTATTTTTCACATGACACCAAAGACTTATGACTTGGTCTATGAGTCCTGGGTTTTCTTCTCCCTAAGATTACGGTCATATTCCTAAGGTTCATCAGTTCGGACTTCCAGTTTCTCAAATGATTCTACTTGGATCGAATCAAATCAAATCCACTGGACCATTCCTCTGAGAGATGGTTATTTACAGACCATTCGACCGCTTCCACCTATCCCCTCATCACTCTCTTCGCTGCACCGATTCAGCGGGAGTTGACCGTTTTCCGCTTGATTACAGGCTTCCATATATTGCGTATCACTACGCTGGCTTGGTTTAATGCGTCGTTGGACAACATATATGAAGCTTCTTTGAACTTCCTCTTAAACCAGTGTGAACGATCTAAGCTTGAGACCACTTGATGTTATGTTGATGAGTCCAAACATGCTCTGCTATTCCCGAATTGCTGGTTTCTCTTCCCTGTGTGTTTGTCTTGTGCTCGGCAATGCGAACTTTCAATGGCCTCTTAGTTTCACCGATATAGGATTTCCCGCACACACAGGGTTGCTGGTAAATGCATGTCTTGGAATCTCAGTCCGCATTTGGTGATCTGTTTTTCGTGAGGCTGCTACGGATGGTATTTCCGGATCTGAAGCAGTTTCTGATGTTGTACTTGGACCCAATTCTTCTTATCCTTCTCGACAATCGAAATTACAAGCACTGGTTTTGACGACTTCTCTTCCTTGCTGTCTTCTATCCGAAGTCTGTTCCACCATTACTTTAGAGTAACCATTCCGCTGAAGATCTTTTTTTTATGATGCCTAGTTCCTTCTCGAGACCTTCCTTCGTATTGCAGAGCACGAAACCACGATCCACTAGAGTCTTATTGATTCCTCTTTCGGTAAATTGACGGTGGTTGGATCCTTGATCCAGATACTGTCTCGTGTGAGTGAGTTTTCTCACTTAGTATCGGTCTTCTTCACCTATACGTCTAAGAACGGCAATTAGTTGTGGACTCCCTTCTCCATTGTGAAGGTGATGAAGGTATTACACTGCTGATGTGCTTCAGAAAGATGTCCCGTTCTGTATTCTCATGGTTCTTTACTATGAAGGTGTCGTCTACGTAAGGTCCTATTTTTTTCATGTGAGCTCTTCAATTCTTTCTTCAGGTAGGTCATGTGGGTTTCCAGGTCTACTTTCCTGGTGAGTTACACACTGATCCATTTACTGGTCCTGTCTGGTACCTCCACAGATGCTTCATAACCAATATGTGAAGTTGTTGATCTATGACTGGCATACTCAACAAGATTCTTGTGATTCTAGACTGTCCTAACAACCAATGTATATTCTTCCTCAAATCCACTCTACATCAACAAAGCTTCTGGCCGTCATTGTAATCTCGGTTGCTTGGTCCTCGTCTTATGTTTTCGCCTCTTCAAAGTCTCCGGGATTAAATGGAGCTGTTTCGTTATCTTTGACTTCTGAATGTCCAAGCAGACAGTATAGGTACATGTTTCCACAATAAATTTCACCCCACCTTCCATCAACCAAGTTTTTGGTCTTTGGTTTGTTGAGTTTTTTCTTCTTTCTTTATTCCAAAAACCTTGTTTCCTGTATAGGTCCTTTATTTGATATCGGTCATATCCTTCACTACTTGATTTTTATTGAACATAAATTGATTTGATGGAAAACCTGACATATACATAAAAGTGTATCTGTTCTTCCGCCTGTAGTTGAGGTTTCAGTTTTACAGCCCTATTTTATTCAGGTCTCCAAGTTTTGTGATTTTCCTCAATAATCTTTTTTACTGTGACCAAGATTTGTGAAAGTTTATAGCTGTACTGTCATCAAATCCTTTGTAGATTTAAGCATAGTCATAGATCAGGGTTTATTAGCCGTGATTGCAGGTTTTCACATCTGACGTTTAGTGTGCTACTGCGGCAGACATGGACATGGACAATTTTCAGTTTGCGCATTACAGCAAGAAAGATGACTTCGACCGTTGCCGTGTCGCCGTTGATAATACTGGAGACCACGGCTAATAAACCTTTGTTAGACACCGACTGTGAAAGCCTAGTCATAGTCATAGACCGTTTTAGTTCCAGCCATAATATTTTATTATTTTCGATAGCTCAGCGAGCATTTGCATAACTTTTAATCCACTGCTTTTTCTTTGCAGGTGATATGAATCGACATGATGATATGCATTGTAAGTTCATGAGATATGTGTTTTCAATTCGTATTAGCCGTATTAGAAATAGTTTGTGTATGCATTTAGTGTACAAAAGGGTATAAAATTTAGAAAAAAGGTAATTACTTCAGTAATTCACTGACTAAATACGAAGCTTTTTAAGAGATATGGAAAAACTAGATTGGAAGTTGAATTGTTATATTTCTAGGTTTAATTCCTAACTGCTTTTCAACTTCAAGAACCCTAAACCAAGAATAATCTACTATTCTGTTCTGGTATAGTGATTAATGCTCTCGAATAAAGAAATATATCGTACCCCCATTTTTTTTCAAAAATATTTCCAAACAAATCAAATCTTTCTCGCTCTTTTTGCTATAGAAATAGTTTCAACCTTGATTGATTGCTCTGCCTCAGGACCGGCCTTAGCATCCTCTGGAAACTTAACACCTTCTGGTTTCGCTATAAAAAAACATGCCCAAGCTACTTGATGAATCTTGGCACATGTCAATGTCGGTCAGAGATTCAGCCAGGAAAGTAGTTATGTTGTCTTATATATGTTGTCTGCTACATAAAATTCACCTACAATATATTGTTCGTGGTCTCTCTTTTCAGACATTCAAAAATGCTTTTTCGTCAGTAATGTATTTCAAAATATATTTGTACAAATCATACACAAGAGATTTCACAGTTGTCAGGTGATTGTGCAGAAGTAGAAGACAAAATGTTCTTGAAGAAGAGCTCATTTACACATTATAGGGATCATATTTTCAAACTGAATAGTAAAGGGGTAGTAAAGGGTGCCCCAAGGTACATTACTTAGACTCATCTTACTGAGAACTTATCACCTGTCTTATTCTCCAAGTCAAAGGGATTTCTGGTATGAATTTCGGAAAATGCCTGCTCCAACTTCAGGCTACCTCATGAGTATGAGTTTTTCATCGTAATATGCCAAAATGAGTGAAACTCTATGGAACCTTTATGTCTGTTGATCATGGGGAATTATTGAAATAGGTTTATTGTTTGAAAAAATATTAATACCATCAGATTTAACCGAATGTTATGTTCACAGTGGCAAACAGAAACCAACCTCATAGAAATAGCACCATTCCGACAGCAAATATGGTAAATTCAACGAAGCAAGTGAATAAAGTCAAGCCTAATATTACTAGGAATGCTACTGATAACGTGGTATCTCCTGGTTTCAATTCAAGGTAAGCGAGTTCCCGAGACGAAGTTGTTTCAAACACTTACACTTTTTTCACTTGGAAAACATACATTATTATTGGTTGTTACAAATGTTTTGATTGTTATTATGAGTTTACTTTGAACTGTAACATATCAATGGATACCCATTCAATTTGATTGAAATGAGTGCTATTTAATCAGAGCACTTCTGCCAACGTAACACAAGTGGATTCAAATCTGGAGATCAGGGAGGCAGTACTGGCAGTAATTCAAATTCCGTTTAAATCAACAGAAATTTATGTAATAATAGTTCACCTATCAATTTTTCTTATAAATCTATATCTAATCTTGGAAATGTATCTTCAAATATCATAAAACTTTTTCATAATGAACAAAATATTGAAATATTCCAAAAAAATATTAAAACTATAAAGAATTTGAATACCAAATTGAAAGATAAAACGGATACTACAAAAAAGTCAAATGTGGTTTATAACATTCCTTGTAACAATTGTAAATTGGAGTATATTGGAACAACATCTAGAATTCTTAAAGATAGAATAACTTCACATAAAAGTGATATAAAGCTTAATAAGAAATCATCTGCATTAGCGCAACATTCTATAGAAACAGGACATAAACCAAATTACTCCAATATCAAAGTTTTACATACAGAAAAAATATTTCAAAACGCCTTTTCCTTGAAAGGATTGAAATTAATAAGTCTTCTGATTGTATGAACAAGAGAACTGACATTGATAATCTCAGCAGTATATACAGTAGCTCATTGGAACTACACCAAAAAACATGATGATAATAATGAAAATTGTATCAATCAACTTTTCCTTTAGGGTCAAAGATTATCAAATCATTATGCCCATTGAAAAATGACATTTATGTGAAGATATGATATTGTCAAACCAAAAAAATCCATTGATGTTTAACTTTCTTTCGTCGATTTATAAGTTCATTTCATTGTTTTTTACTCATTTTTACTGTAAGTATGATTTGTAATGTTATTCATTAGCAAAAAACCCACAACTCAATAAATTATAGGCCCTGAAGAAGCTTCCCACTAGAAGCGAAAGCTTGGCAAAGTAGAGCAGTTTTTTGATTTTTGATTTTTTGACTGAAAGGCCCCGTTAATCCATTTTACTATTGAATTTTTGTGGTGAAAATGAATTATCAGACAAATGATCTACAAAACCTTATGTTTCTTCAATGGATAATTTATTTGATATCGTTTTCATGATTTTTATCACGTTTGTACCACTGATTCCTAAAAAACTCTTGTGGGCTTAGGAACATTTCTTGGCATATGAAAAATATTATTCAAATCAGCTGTTTTGAAATCTTTCACCTGTGAATAGAATGTTGAATGATAGTAACTGAGTCACTCAAAAATTTGGTAGAGAATTATAATTTTCTAGTAAAAAGCAGAATAGGAATATGACTCTGAATATTAATTCTCACTGATAAATAACGGTTCCTGGCGGTAAGTTTTCATACATCAGTAATTGAAATTTCAGTTTTGTTTTTCAATAATACATTTTTTATGTATTTCAACAAGATTTTTGCTTATCGTGTTGTTTTTCCCATAGTTTTAGGCATTCTACCATATACGTGTCATTTCAGAGTATAAATAAATGAGTGACTTTTAAAAATATGCATATATTTATAACTATGATTGTCATCAGGGATGTTTTTCTATATAAATTCCACTTTACGACTCTAGTAGAGAAGATTTGCTTTTGTTTTATCGATATTGTGAGCGATTATGATGTGCTATCAGCAGTGTGCTGTTTTCAGAGAGCCGGAGCAAGAGGCGACATCTTACGCCGGCTATCATCTAGCCTATGAAGTGAAAAAACTCATGTACGCTTAGCAAATACTTACACTTTTACCTAAATTTATGTGTTGTTGCTTGCCTTGCTTGATTGTTCAACCGTACCTCAAAGACGTAGTGTGGGTTTGTTAGTGGCCTATGGAATGTACCTCATTATAATAAATTCCCTTTATAACCCCAAAAAATCCGTTAGTTTCATGTATATTTTGGCGGGAAATTCAAAGAGTTTGGCAACATCGCAATCAACGGTTTTATTGCAAACTAATCAAAACTGATCACTGAATTATTGTTTTCGAAATGGCAAAATGAATGACTGAATAAAAATAAAAATCTAGTGAAGATAACCCGTGTCAGTGTATTTTATTACTGTTTATTTTTTCAATGTTCGTGGAAAACACTGCAGTTTGTGTCAGATCTATATAAGATCTATACATTTTTGTGAAGAGTTTATTCTGAAATCATTGCTTTCTTCCTTTATTTGAAAGATTCTCACTTCATTGTATAATGATGGAGGAGTAGAAAGCCAGAACCTTTCTTTCACTCACTAAAAGATTGCATACACCTTCGCTTGAAAGAAGCATGTGTTTTGACCAAGCGGGTAGACGTAATGTAAATTTTTTCCGCACAGTTTAATTCAGCTCCCGATCCATGTTAGATTTCCACGGTTTAACGACGACACTGTATAAACACTGTAAACATTAACGAAATATTGTTTTTGGAATGGCAGAACACACTTGGAATCAGTAACTCAATAATAATAAAAATTTTGTGAGATAATGACAGTACCTACCTCAAATATGAAGCGAGTAAAACATTGTTCATGAACGCAATCATCCCATGTATACAGTGTGTGAAACATTGAGGTTTCATCAAAATATTTGATGATGAAGAAGTGAAGTTTTAAATATCAGTGGTTCTTTAAAAATATTCTAAGATATACAGTAGAAGTGTGGCTCATTGAAGTTAGGCGAGAAAAACATATTTGGATTCTGTCAAAAAAGTACTTCCAATAAATATAGGGTTATAATTGTATATACCGAGCGGATCGAAAGTTATTTCAAAAATCTCGTTGAAAATTGGATCTATTCAACGCCTGAGAATATACCGAGCGATTCAGAAGTTATTCTAATAATGACGTGGAAAAATCGATCCATTCATCTACATTCGTCTACATTTTCAATTTGACTCGAATTTAAAACGTAACTAATTCATCTCAGACTTCTGATGGGAGTTCGATGTGAAGCACACTGTATATACCAATAAAATTGTTTATTCTTTCACAGCCACTTTTTCAATACACCTTGTATAGTATATACGAAGTCAATTCGAATGGCATGAAAACAAATCGTTACCGAACGTCGGCAGTTTCTGTGTATGGCATGGGCGGCGTGGTATTCATACGAGGTCTAATCATTATTTTTATATGGGAGGTTTTATATGGTATAAATAGTGAATTTATCAGACCCGGTACATTAGTCTTGTATTTAGCTGTTCGGATCGATTTCGTATAGACCATGCTTCTTCCATTGCGAATGATCGAGTAGCACATGGAAAACCCGGAGCATCAGCTTGACACTTTTTCTGCGCAGAGCACTCTTAATTTCGCTTCAGCTGCCAATGAAATTGAATAAATTTCTTCCAAGCAATCTCAGCCTCAGCTATCTGCTGATAGCTCATCTAAAGAAGTGATTTCGCAATACAATGGTATTATGACGCAGTATTTACTTGTTATCCATCATTAAATCATTACATGGGTTAAATGAGCTATTTCCTGTTGAATAAACCCATTATGCAGCGCTGATGTACTTGTTTTGCCCCGGTGTTGACCCATGAAAAAGTAATCGAGCAGGTTGATTTTGCTTCAATACAATGTGCATGTCTCAGTAGTAAAAGTGCAGCTCAACTTACACAAAAGATCAAAGAAAGTCCGTTTCACTAAGATGTAAACCTTCAATACCCAAGAGATCCACCGGCGCGATAGGAATATTGTTTGTATTTTGTGATTGTCTGTTCCTGCCACATTTACCTTCTTAGAGGAAATTGATGCTTGGTTGTTACCCAAAATTCACTTCAAATCTTCATCTTCAGATCATCTCCTCAGATCAGATTATCATCTTCAGATCTTCGGTAAACATATGCTTCGGCAGCTGTATATAAATGAGAATAATAAGACACAAGAGAAAGCAAACTATTTAGCAAGTAATTTGTTTGTTGTTATCCATTTGTATCAACAGTTGGAATTGTGGACTAGATGAAATTGTGACTAGTATCTTCATAGATCTAGGTGCAAACTATTTAGCAAGTAATTCGCTTGTTTTTGATATCAAATTCCATTCGTATCAATGGTTGGAATGGTGGACTAGCTGGAATTGTGACTGGTATCTTCATAGATCTAGAATTGTAGAGATTGGCAGGCAATTCATTCCTCATTCTTTGTTGTCTTGATCTGTTGGGACCGAAGATCCTTGAGCAAAAGAGATATCCGAATTTCACCAAGCATTCAGCTAATGGTATTATCAAACTCCATATAGAATCTGAGTTTGTGGATCATAGATTCATAGATATATACTAAGGCCAAGTCCTCAATTTAGTCTTAGGATTTAGATAGACCCCCAAATACATACTAGGCTCTTTCGAAATACCTTGTGCTAGTGGTGAAACTGAGACATACGCATAGTAGAAACACAAACTTCCTGTTCCATTCTATTCTCGAAAGCATGTCGATATACAATAATCCCTTTAAGGTAATTCTGAAGTCTAGTTGTGTTATAACTATAAGTTTGAGAAGAGATCTAGTCTAGGTCATGTGTCTTTTCATTTAGACCTATAGTAATCACACCAATACGAGTATGATATTGAAAACTGTCAAATACAATGTATACATGCATGTGTCATATTTTTGTTCAACAAACCTGAATAATTATGACCCGCTAAAGCTTTGCATTGTTTTGGAAAAAAGTTTCTCATGGTGAGCATTTGTATCCATTGTCATCTCCGATTAGTCAAGATAATATAGACTGATTTTAATTATACCTGCATAGAGAATGAGCTAGATGAGTAGTGCAAGTTTGTTTATATAATTCAAATCCCTAATAGAGTTTGCCGAGAGGGTAATCTCGAAGTTTCTGGTTCCAACTTGCAAACCATTTCAACTCTTCCGATGGGCTCGAACCCCAGAAATTTCGAGCAGCCTCAGTCATGATTTTTCCTTGCTGTTTCGTGCTGTACTTACCGTAATTAAATCACTGAGAGTTTTGCGATTGTAGCTACAGTATACTTGCATAATATTAATCTTTCCGGCAGTGGAAAATGTCTTCTATTGAACTTACAGGCCAACGAGTAGAGGCAGTGGCGGTACGAATCAAAACAACAACGGGGTCGCACTGCCTGTAGGTTTAGCAGACGACCAAGCTAAAGATTTTGATTTTGAAAAAACTGAAATGAAGTATGACAGCACAGGGATGTTTCACTGGGGACCAGCAAGGAATTTAGAAGAGTGTTTACTGGTAAGAATTCAATATGCAGTTTGTCTCGAATAAAATTCATATGACTTGTTTCATTTCAAATGATACATATTATTCTTTATAGACCTATAGCGATACTTGGTATAGTATATAGTATATATAGTTCGGTATAGTCATACCGAAATAACATCAACTCTGCTATTCGTTCACTTTTTTATAATTATGATTATTTGTCTTCAACAGATATTTGTTTTTTATCATTTTATCATTTCAATCTGACTATTTTAACAATCTGTAATCATACTTTGGAAAGTAGTCGTTTGGTCTATTGTTTACTGAACCAGTGGACTCAAATTGAAAAATTGACAGGTTGTTAATGTTATTGAATCATTATGTACTTATGATGCACCATTTGGAACCTTTGGTGTAGTAGTATTCGTTATTGAATCGGGTGAAAAATATTAGAAAATTCGCAGAGCATTGCCAATACTTCTATATGCCATTCGGTTTCAAAAATGCCCCGGATAGTTGGAACGGTTTATTTTATTTCATGTTTTGGATCTGATCTTATTCTGGCTTTTGTTTTATTCCAGGATAGGAATCAGGCCGCCATGACGGTTCTAAACGGCCACGTAGTTGTGTGCCTTTTCGCAGATCCTGATTCGCCTCTCATTGGATTGCGAAACCTGGTGATGCCGCTCCGTGCTAGCAACTTCCACTATCATGAACTGAAGCATGTAGTGATTGTGGGATCCGTAGATTATATTAGGAGGGAGTGGAAAATGTTGCAGAATCTGCCAAAAATATCTGTGCTCAATGTAAGTATGAACAGAAAAAAAACATGCTGAATTAATACGAAATTGAAGTGGCAGTTCAACATTTTATACACTTTCAGAGTAGTAAGATAAGGACCAGGAATGGAAGTATTTTCTATGATCTCAAGTTATCATTAATTTATTTTTCTGTATGTCTTTCCACATGTTGGTACCGTTGTTTTCCAGTCTGTGAAATTATGTTCTTTGGTATATATTTCCATAAATATTTCTGTGACTTTCTTATCCATATATTTCATCAAGTCTGCTACACGAAATCAGTTTTGAATGGGAGGCAAAATATAAATGCACTAGCATAATTTATAGCGATTACGAACATTCAAAGATATACCTTGAGAATTTAGATATAATAATAATAGTTTGTTTTAATATCATCTAGTTCTCAACTGGTAGTTTGGAGCATCAACAAAATGGTCGAATGTGCTTAGATGAAAGTTGATCTGAAAGTAAAAGGTTTGTTTTCGTAATGTTGAAACTATCGACTCTTCAGTGGTTATACGATTGATTTCAAATAACATTTGACGTTGGATATCCACTTTCTGATCACGTTTTCAGTTTTACATTCATTCTAAATAAATTTCAGGGTTCTCCACTGAGCAGAGCAGATCTTCGAGCTGTGAACGTCAACCTTTGTGATATGTGCTGTATTCTGTCAGCAAAAGTACCGAGCAATGACGACCCCACATTGGCGGACAAAGAGGCCATCTTGGCATCTCTCAACATAAAAGCGATGACATTCGATGATACGATAGGCGTCCTTAGTCAAGCCAACGGGGCCAAAGAGGCCGGCACGCCTGTTGGAAGCCCTATAATCCTTCAGCGAAGGGGGTCCGTGTATGGGGCCAACGTACCGATGATTACAGGTAAGCCAAAAGTGTATCAATCATCATGTCAATATTTGTGAATCAGTATGACTGCCATTGCAAATACCAACATGTGAACTATTTTTTCAGAATTAGTGAATGACAGTAACGTTCAGTTTTTGGACCAAGACGACGATGATGATCCAGACACGGAACTTTATTTGACTCAACCTTTTGCCTGTGGAACAGCTTTCGCCGTTAGTGTATTGGATTCGCTAATGTCCACTGTGAGTAACTCAACGAGATAAGATTTACCCTACGTTCAGTTTTGAACGTAGGGTAATTTCTGTTCGTCGTTTCAAATTGAAAGTTGTTAAACTCGTGTCTCACTTTTCCAACTTCACTTTGAGAATTAATCGAAGCAAATATACTTATTATTTGCTACTTAAAATACATTTTTGAAAATATTTTCAGACCTACTTCAATCAGAATGCCTTAACATTGATTCGGTCTTTGATTACCGGAGGTGCTACCCCAGAATTAGAACTGATCCTTGCAGAAGGAGCTGGACTACGGGGAGGCTACAGGTACAATTGTTATCAGTACATCTCTAATTATATATCACAATGGACTAAATCCAGTAATCCGATGTTTTTTCTTTATAGTACGGCAGACAGTTTATCCAACAGGGACAGGTGTCGAGTAGGTCAAATTTCCTTGTACGACGGGCCTTTGGCGCAATTTGGAGAAACAGGAAAGTATGGTGATCTGTTCGTTGCTGCTCTCAAACAGTTTGGTATGCTGTGCATTGGACTTTATAGATTTAGGGACACTAGTTCGTCGTGCGATGCCAGCAGCAAGAGATACGTCATAACAAATCCGCCGGATGACTTTCAGCTGCTGCCTACAGACCAGGTGAGGTTTCGTTCTACATTCAACAGAGTATAACGTGGTTTTGTATTTTGAATTGTGTCTTTATCCCTCCACGCCTGAACCGCGATGATCTAGCAAAACTCCTCAACGACTTCAAGGAATTGAGAGACACAATGAACCGTCTGCCTCTACAAGGCGCCTGGCAGCGATAGTATTGAGTCATTCTACTCCGGACAAACAGAGAAGAGCGAAATATCTAGGAGTTATCCTGGATAAGCGCTTGAATTGTCAAGAGCACTCAAGTTTGGCAAATCAGAGAGGGGGAGCGGCGATTAAACGCAACTACCCTCTCATTGCAAGAAATTCCAAACTTAGTGTTGACAAAAAGCTCCTGATATATGAACGAATTACCAGGTCAGCTATGCTGTACGCTTGTCCCGTGTTCTCCAGCCTCAGGGACACCCCATTAGCGAGGCTTGGGAGAATGCAGAACAAGGTGCTTCGTATTATAACCGAAAGCGATCGTTACGTTCCGTTGGAGAGTTTACCATAACAAGAAACGGATCATAACCGTCTATTTGGTATGGAAAATCAGATATCACAACGACATAAAATGAAATCGGGATTAATATTGGGTATGTTGGTTCATAGACGAAATGTTTGTCATTTTTCAGGTATTCGTTCTGATGCAGTTTGATCCTGGTCTAGAGTACAAGCAAGTGAGGGGAAAAACAGCAACGGGCCAAGGCAGTGGCACAGGAGGTGGAGGAACCAACAAGGACGAGAACTCTTGACTATTGTTATGTAGCGCTCTCACAGATGGACCTTACTCTTATATATAAAAATTATATAAGGAACAGAGTCCAGAGAAGTTATACCCACCATTCCATACCCTTGTTCCAATTTTTTGATATGTTTAGTTATATTGTGCGATTGATTGTATGAATACAGAAGTTGTTTTTTTGTACATATTGCGTGTCTATATTGACTTTGTTGGTTTTTTCAAAGAGAATTGATTTATCTCGAGTTATATTGTTATGTAGTTGTAGAGTGGTTGAATCGAGTCGGCAGTATTCGCGGTCAATGTGGATAAACTGAGTCGCGGTAAAAATTAAAAAATAATTAGTTACTTTCATGATTTAGTGTTTCTGTTATGGAAACTATGAAAAAAATTCATTTCGCTTTGATAGCTTTCCATAATGCGACAAAACGATAAACAAGTTTGAAGCTAGACAGTTTTTACAGCGATTAAAAGCACCAGAACTTTTTAGCCAAGACTCATGATGGTGTTGTTTCATAAATTATACTTTCAAATCATTTCTACAGATTTATTTCCTTCCTTCAACATCAATTATTATTTTTATTAAAATCGTATATAATTTTTACAACTTTTTACTTACTTCTTCTTCTTCTTCTTACAACTAACTTCATTCTACTTAGGGAATTTTTAGCGTACTCCGCTAGAGCTGTCAATATTGACATATTGATTGATTTTACCCGTTGACCTATGATCCTAGAATTTTGTCAAACTATTACATATTCTGGCTTAAGAAAATTTCAAAAATTATGGATTTGCACACATTGTAAACGAATAAATTTGGCGCACTCGGGACAATAACCTTGGAATACACTTATCTAGTATTTCTAATGCATCACTTTTTGAGCTCCCAATCTTTCGTTGAACAAGCAAATACTGCTGGAACTATTCATAGAGTAAGGGCTTATATTCTCTGTGTTATGAATTAAATTGTGGGTGTTTACTAGAAAATCTGTGAAAGCGCTACATTTCTCTGATTGAATTGAAAAACTTCCTAGTGCTTTATCTTCATGGCGAGAATTTACACTAAAAAACGATGATATTTTGAACATCGATGAAAAAGACACTTACAATACACATTTTGTAATATAATCCTTATGTAAAAATCAATTTTTTAATGGGCAATTGTTGAAAAAAGATGTGCTTTTTTGTAAATAAGTAAAAAAGAGCTTTTTATATATGAACTAGATGCTGTAGAAATATATCAGAGGTGGGTATTTGGGGAACTTAATGTCATTTCAATGTTTGTTTATTTTACTTATTGGAATCATTTTTCATTATAAGAATGCCTGATCAAGTGAATAATTACTCTCATTCTGGATAATATGATTACGAACTTGAAACAGTGAATAGCTCGTCACAATAACTTTAGACACAGTCACAGAAGTCACATAAATAAATCCACAGAAGCGAAATATTGCAATTATTAAATAAAAATAGAAGTAATAAAAAAATAATCCTCAATGAAATACCTGGATTCTTCAAGAGAAATGAACAACAAGTATGGATTTAGTAGTATAAGGTCAATTGAATCAGTTCACCATCCTCAGTACAAAATAAAACAATGTCGTTTACGTTCCGAACAGAAGGGAAACAACCTGGATGGTATCCACTGTTCATTGATCTGTCCAACTTTTAAAAACCATTATTGGAAGTGATCTATGTGGTAAATAAAGTTGATCTACATATTGAATCAGCTGCAGGGGATTATAATTGAGAAAATTGGTTCAGAAATATTCAAATTCTGGTAATTGATATATAAGATATGAATGAAGAAAAAAACAGTACATGAGCCTATAAAATGACATTGAACAATTCTCCCAACACAGAACATAGGACATAGAAACTTAACCCCTCAAAATGCATGTGCCGCCAAAAGAGTGCCTTTTCTGTAAGGGGGCAAGTTCTTTGATTCGACAGGAAATGTCCGACAAATTGCTCCAACCAATAGAAATGAACTTACGTTTTGAATTTAAGAGCTCGCAGTGTTTTGTGTCTATGCTGCTGAGTAACCAGGGTTTATCGTGTGAAACCCTGGCATAATCCTTGAATATATATGGATTTATAGACAATTTTCTGAAAAATACCTATCATCTTTTATAGAAAGTATAAGAAGGGAGTAGTCAAAAATAACTACTGTGTGGATAGACCCACGAAAATTTTGTAGATAACAACCTTGATTGGGCATTTGTTGTTCTTGAAATGAAATTGTACATATTTGTTAAATTCAAATGGAGGTCAAGGCATTTTTGGAAACTGATGCAACCTTCCATCACAACTTCTGAAGGTTCAATTTGCATTTGTTTCAATCTTTCAGTGGACATCAAAGTATCCAATCAATGAAGAACTACTATTATTGAGTCAAACCTAGAAGAGGGTTTCAACAGTTTCCACAGATCTGAGGCTTCAAAACAATTCAATTCCAAATTGTGATATGTATATATTTAGTTATAGTTCCTAAAAATTTCCATCACTCGAAAAGTTAAATATAAAATGAAGAGTTTCCAACTGTTATGTGTCTAATATAATCAGTACAGCACCGTTATTTGAATCGAAACCATCTTTGGAATTTCGGAAAGTAAATATAGTCGAAATAGTTTATCCAAATGTCGCTAGAATAACTATAAGCAAACACAAACCACTGGAATATTTTGAGTTTCGTTATGTTGCCGTTCCTCCAGCTCTCTATAAATGATATGTGCTTTAAGTAATGCTGGATTTTTTTAAATCAACTGTTCTATGTCCAAAGGAGGCAACCACGGAAATTTTTACCGCGAGAGGGTGCTGAGGGACGTTAGTCATTTCTCGTGCACCGGTGTTGGGATAAAACCCCGGTAATATTGGCAAGGATATGTTTATCATTTAAAAATTTTGATCGGAGCTACTCACAGAACAAAGACGCCCTAAGCAATGGCTCGTTATTGACATCTTATTCATGCCAAAACCTCGCAAAACGAACTCAAAATTCCTCAAACAAGCCAAAGTCAAACATTCATCTCTCAGGCAATTAAATACCTGTTTAAATGTTATCTTAACCTCTCGCCCTTCAGGTGGTCCTCCCTACGGTAAAATTGACCAGCGTTGTTCAAAAAGTCATTCAACGCTTCACCGCACGCAGGAACTTCAACACTATTTTTGAAGCGGGTTTTACTAAGTTACTGTCACCAGGAAAACAGTTACCATTCAAATCTTGAACTGGAGGAACGGATGACTGAATTAAATATAATATTTTGCAGTAATTTCAAACAACTTTGTTTAACTCAAGTTGAAAATGCACCGGTAGCTTGAGAATGTAAAACCCATCTCTGGCCGATGAAAATTATTATTTTTAATTATGGAACACTACAATCTCACGTGTGTCTTGTTCATATTTTTAGAATAAGACTAAGCTTCATTCGTTTCAAACTCAATTCGTTGACTGAAGGCAGTTCATTTGAAAATCTGCCTGGTGTAGATTTAATTCGGCCAAGAGACCAATCAGTCATGCATCTGGTCAGGAATAAGTTGATCATTTGTCGTTCGAATGAATGATCTTTTTTAAATAATCGGTTAAAAATAAACATTTGCTTTTAGGACCTTTTCATTTTCATGGTTTTAAACAATATTCTTCTTGTTGATAATGATGATACAGAAAGCATCATGTCTTCAGAGTGATAATTCTTTTATTTTTGGCACAGTTGTGATAACTTTTTCCTGACTAGATGACATGTCAGCTGATCTCTGAATGTTCGATATGTTAGTTCGGTGTAAATAGATTATATGTTTATACTGGGATGTATTTAGATTTTCTCGAAAAATTAATCATTCCGGATAAGTTAAAATCTCACATCACACACTATTTTCCCATTGAAGAGTGATAAATAAACAATTCATTGATTGAGATGTATTTCATTCTACCCAATCAACAAGATCAAAATAATATTTGTAGAGGCAACTTGTTCCTTGCAGATGGGAATGAATGAAGATGGATTTTGACTCGTTTATGATTGAATGGTTACTCTGGGACAGATGCTACATGATACATTATTTGTCGACAAAATCATTGACGTATACTACATACTGAACTGGTGTGGATCCCTGAAGAACACCAGTTGGGCAGTGAAATCTCTGCAATGTTTCATTATCGATTTCAAAATAGTTCACAGTTAATGAACATTTTCAAACAGTTGCAAGGAGTCAAAAAAAACTGTTAGATAGTGAGATGCATAATGTACAGTGACTGGCAAATTGCTCACGAAGCAGAGCCAAAAAAATAAAGAAGAAGAAACATATAGTTCCATAGGCAAATGAACTTAGCAACGAAACCATCGGACAAAACTTCTGATACAACCTGATGAAAGGTTGAATAAAAAACCAAATACAAATCAACCATAATATATTGTACCTTTCAACGAAAGAAATTATTTCTTTGCACGTCGCTGCTCACGGGCGTTTCCAAAAATACATTCAACGATTTCCTCTTCACTTTTTTCTTTCCAGCAAAATATTGGAATTCACTGACAGAGCCGAAAAAGTTTTGACAGGTTGTCTCGGAGTGGCAGAAATCGACCTGAAATGATCACCGACATCTATAGGAGGTAAAACTAAATCACCAGTAGGATCCTTCCGACTAGTTGCCGACTGTTTATTGTAGTGTCGAGATGATTTCACAGATGGCGGTTCTTCTACTTCTATAAACGGTAACGAACCAAACTCCAACGAGGATTCTTGATATTCTTTGGATACTTGCCGGCTCAGCAATGATTTTGACGAGTGTTTTCTTTCGTTGAGAATACTACTGATCGAAGATATCTTCAGATATTTCTCAGAGTCCCAACTCTTCGTTTTATTGAATACTGTGAAGATATTTTTGTTCTTGTGTCTGCTCTCTTCCGAGGATTTTTTCCTGGTAATGTTGGCACCCCTTTGATTGAGTAATATACTGGGAGAGATTTCAGAAGCTCTCATGGGTGTAAGTTTTTTCCTGGGATTGTTTTTGTTTGAGGAACTTATATCACAGTTTCTACTTGAGATGACGGACGAGCCAAATACAGAAGAAATGTTTATTTCATTTCCCAGCTTCTCATTGATGTTCTGTGTAGAATTTACTGGTGTTTTATTGCAGTCGAATATGCTGAAAATCGAATTAACATTATTTACAGGCTGAAAACGTATAAGTGTGGTTAGAATTGTACTTGTTAGTGTTGAATTGAATTTCACAGAAATCACTTGATTTATACACCATAGTTCCAAGTAATTATTGTAACTGTAACAATGAACTCTTACTCCTACTGGGCTGAGATGTAGATAAATATAATAGTAAAATGAAGGTTAGTTATTGGTGTTGTTTATATAATAATCATGTGAGAATTGTCAATAAACCTTCTATTTCCCAATGGAAACTCTGTTCTTCCAATTTTTGAAATGAAAAGCCTTTTCGATTCGAGTTTGGTTGGGCCAAAGCCTCGACACAGAATAGTATTGCTTACTATTCTGTGGCCTCGATAACTACCAAAAAAAAACACAAAACTGAAAGAAACACGAACATTTCAAAATGCCTGTCATTTGTCACTTTTACTTTTTACGTCAACCTCAGCACGGATACACAGAACTATTATAGTTCTGTGCACGGATAAAACACTAAATCAAGCACGGAACCGAAAACTCAAAATTGAATAATTTTTGTTGTATGATGTGTCATATATTCGTGCTCCAATTGAAAATGAAAACACCAGACGCGGTTCAACCCGGAAACTGAAGAATATATTTCACTGATCAGACGTGAAATTACTTTACTGACCTTATGTTGGGAAATTTGTTCATCCACTGCTCATACTCGTCTACATCATAATGTGGTGGTACAGTTTCTACTCCTCTCAACACCCTATCCATTCTCTTCAATTCCTCAAAAACTTTTTTTGTAGTGGATCCTTCATACTCGTCACTCCAGCCTAAAGAACTCGATGAACTTGACCCACCTACTTAGAAAAATATTGAATAAAAGCAATTTTTTGGGGGAATCAGTGTTTTTATGACAAAGGTATGAATGAACTTTTGTGTCAGGAAATTAGAAGATGACCCGTACAACGTATATCCAAAAAACCTGTTTCGACCAATTACTCACCTTCAGTCGTTAATAGCGTCGTTTGGGAAGACGCTCGGCCTGTTTGGGGCGTCCAAGATATTCTGTTTGTATCATCTTCATTGATGTCTTCTGGTATATTTTCACTTCTCTCAGCACCAATCACAGTTCTCTTCGAGCTCCAAGGAAATAATCAACGAAAAAAATATTTGTCTACAAATAAGGAACTACAGAAATACACGTTTCAATTTTGAAGTGGAAAATCAATTTTCACCACAATAAATACATAAATATTTCAAACAAGTTAGTCACATTTTCAAATTTCACTAAAGTATTTATCAAAAGTGGAATACGATCGAATTCAAATCGGAAACTGCATTGGTTAGCAAGGCCAAACATTTCGTTAAAAGAGACAAATGCAGCCCCGAAAACATGAAAAACCTCTTCAAAAAACTCTCAATATTTCATTCAGTAGGCGACCACGATCCGAGTCTTCAAAACTGCAAAAGCAATCACACTACTATTAAAACTATTTTTTTTATATATACTACACGATAAAAAACCAATTATACCGAAAAAAAAAGGTCACATATGAATTGATATAGAAAAACCTTGTTCATGAAAGAATACCGTGTAGGTACACCTTAACGAATCCACTCGCACAAAAAAACTTCAGTCGATGTACTGGGCCAGCCAACGGAAACCTTCTCCGTATCCCTGCCTCTTCAGAATGGAGCACATGAAGAGCTCGAGGGGACGTCCTGGCAAATCGGACCTTGCCACCTTTCCCTGAGAGAGAGAGAGAGAGAGGTAATATGATAACAACACAACTTTCACATCACACTATAAATCTAATTACAAGACAAACTATTATAGTAGGTAGGGACAACAAAACTTATTCAGATAGTAGGAAATAACAGCCGGTTCTCGGCCTCCCCCCAACACTACGTAATAAATGAAACTGACTTTGACTGACGTCACACGGCATTGAAGAAATACGGCCCGATGATGCCACGACCAATAATCCACACCAAACAGTGACTTTTTCGGGGTGCATCGGTAGCTCTTGCAATGCTCGTGGCTGGTCTTCACTCCAGATGCGAATAGGGAATTTGACCTTGGGATCAAGAGGTACATTGCACATACCGTAAAGGTAGGGTTTGACATTGCCCTTTATGTGTACTCTTTAGAATTTAATACAGGATACACACACACACGTCTGTATACCACGAAGATCCACCAACTAATGAGTGGTCTTTTCTGTTAGCTCAACAAGTTAGACGCTACCTCTCAAGGTAGAGAGTGCACACATCTGCACTCCACGAAATTCCGACGACCACCCAACCACTGCCTGCTCGTATCGGCATGTTAGCGCATCAAGTTGAGAATGATGGGGTTGTTTGTAACGTCAGGTGGCTTTAGTGGGTAACAGCTTCATTAGACGATGTGTGCTCCTTTGGAACATTGCATAGATTCATAGTACGGGTGGCTCACTTACCAATATGAAAGAAATGAATATGTACGAAATGAAATCATCAAAAGAATATATCTGCAACAATTACATTAATAATCAATCTGAAACATTGTTCAATTTTGTAACACTGCCAACACAACCAACAAAAATGTCCCTTGTAAAAGTGTCACTCAGTTTCATAAACAATTGTGTTTGCACCAGAATGTAGTTGCTAATGATCAGCAACTTACTAATAATTCAAATCTACCTCTTATCTAATGGAATCCCCCAATTCTCTTAGCTTTTTATGATTTCAAACGCTCTGACCTACCTCCTATACACTTTTAACACCAAGAATCGTTCCAAAATGACCACCTAATGATCGAAATAAAATATTTCTCATGCAAAACTCCTTACTCAACATTAATAATAAAATTACACTCACCTTTCCAGTTGTTTGGCCATACAAGGCATAGTAATTTCTTAGTTCGTCTTCCGAAGCTGCTTGAGGCAAATCAATTTTGTTACCTAATATAAGAACCGGACAATTCGAAAGAGTCTCGTCTGTGAGTAGCGAATCCAATTCTTGTTTACTCTCTTTGAATCTGTTCCTATCATTGGCATCTACTAAAAAGACAATGGCGTCAACAGCAGGGAAGTAGTCCTTCCACACTCGCCTTGCTGTAGAGAGAAAAATAAGGTTAGCATATTTGGAGACATTTTTTGTGGAGGAATCGAAGTTCCTTAATGTTTTTCGGGGGTATGATCTTCTACAAAAATGAAGGTGAAGCATGTGATGTGGACTGGACATTTCATTCTATTGATGTTTGTTGAAAGAAATATACCTGTCCATGTGTCAAAATTATTTTCCGGAATAAATAGCCTCGCTGTGGCTGTAAATTGTATGTCCGGCGTTTCATCAACAATTGCGGTCGACATTTTGAAAGCCGACGTGTCAAAGCTATTTGCCTCGCTGTGGTCTACAAGTTTTGTGCCTGACGTTTCGTCTAAAACTGCGGTCGATATTTGCAAAGACTAACGAGTGACCAAATCATTTTCAACATCAAGAAGTATAAATTGATTCTTGGGGGACTAAAATGAAAAAAAATCTGCTGGATGGTAACACTGTCATCACCTAATTTATTTTCTAATTGAACTACCAAATTGTTATAAATGATTTGCATCAGTAAACCAAAAGTCGATTATAAAAACTCAAAATAATCTAGTAGGTAGGAGTTTTTTTTTTATTTTTCAATAGTTTTCATAAAACATATTGTAACGAAACCGAAGCCGGCCCTGACCGATATCTCAGCCAGCAAACACATGACTCGCCGGGAAAATACTAGGCGGGAACAGAGACCACTATAGGAATCTAGAACGATCGTTACCGATATAAAAGGTCGGCTCCTCGTTCATAGAGAGGGTATGTATTCAGAAAGCGAATCGAACGGTTAAACAAAGAATTTGAACTGTGAAGATAAATTAAGCGATAGTTGCTAAGTGTTGAATATAAGTTAGTTGTGATAGTGAAATATTGTTAAAAATAAATTTGTTTAAGGCAGTAAATTCTTTAATTCGATACAATATGAATAGTTGAAACCATTATTTGAAGAGTGATTCCAAAAAAAATATATTGTTATTTTCAATGAATAGACTGTCGGAAGTTGGTAATAATCTAATAAATGAAACATGTTCATGACCATAACAAATGTTCCTTATCATAATGAATATGTATGATTTTATAAATCAGAAAATTAGTGTTATCAGCTGCAAGATATCTTATCAGAAGAAATAAACATGAATTCGCTAATGATGCGATAGCTCTTTTCAAAATGCGAAAAAGTTTTATTTCAAACTCATAGTAAACTCTGCATGTCCAGAAGTTTTCCAATTTCAGTGAAACTTGTTCTATCAATTTTGAGACACAAAAAACAAAGGATTTACAAGACAGAGTCTGTGATTTATTTTCCGGTTGTCACTGGTTTCCTCTCTCACAGTATCAAACTGAAATTACAACCGTTTCATGACCTCTTTATTTTTCTTAGCGAGAGACTGAGACAAAGAATATTCACGAATTTACAGCACGTGATTTTGCTCACACGGCGAGAGTTTGAAATCAATTTGAGAGTCTTGATATACCATGCAGCACTGTGATGCTTTTAGATATCACAGCCATGTTCGCAAAAAGCAACGGTAGATTATTTTAGGAATAATGAAAAATGTTAAGAGCCTTACTAGGATGTAAAGTGGGAAGATGCTGTGCCAGCCTATCATCTTTGAGCATATGCAGTAAAGTTGTTTTTCCAGCATTGTCCAGGCCTAGGAAAAGCAGCTTGCCTGATTTCTTCCATAATCCTGCGCAAACATGCAAAAAACTTTATTAAAATATTTGAAACTCACCGTTGTGTGAAAGAGAGTGTTCTGCTGGGGTATCATCGAGAAGATAAGGGATGGTGTCTAATTGACCCTCCTCTAATAAGTGTTGAACTAAAGTGGTTCTTCCACTTCCCGGCAGACCAAGAAAAATATATTTCCTTTTTCTTCGAACCAAACCTAATTGCAAGAACTAATGATAAGGTAATAACGTTCCAAAATAGTATTGAAATTAAGATGGTTTTGGTTCAATTTTTCGAAAAAAATCAGAGGTTATTGGAAATGAATAAAAAAGATGTTAAGTCTTGTTAACTAACGTTTTCACCTCTCCATCTTTACACAAAAAAATGGGAATTTTACAAAGAAAGAAAGGAAGCAGTTATTTCCAAAAGAAACTCTGTGCAAAGAAGCAACTAAGACACAAAAATTGGAAATGAAGCCTTCTCCAAATAACCACTTTCATATGAACAGTGACTTACACAAAAAACACTTTTTCTTTTCAGTTTTTACTGCAAATATTCGTAATGGAATTGAATCAGATATCATCCACAGAGTTACTACACAATATAGTATATGAAAATTACGTCATTGCATAAAATAAACATCGTTGTGTAGAGTTCAATTCGAAATTGATTACTTTCTTCTTTTCTCCACTTTTTTTTATGAAGATGAAGAAGTAGAAAGCCAAAACATTTCTTTCTTAAAAAATATTGAAACATTTAAAATTTGTACAAAAATTGCAATAACAAAAGAATTAGTAAAGTTATTTGTTACAAATTCCTGAAAATTAAACATATTTTTGCATAAGTTAAACTTTCAACAAGAATTTTTTAAAGAGATATCCAATTTATTGATTATTTTGAGTCGCAAGTACTTTTCAAATATTAATCAGTCTTAATAGGTTTTTTGTAAGACACCATACTAATTTTACATCATATTTTTTTTAAACTGGGAGAATTATTCGAATTTTTCAATTAGACCTCACATCAAAGTTCTATTCTCTATTCATAAAGTATATGCTTTATTTTTCCACAATCTTTTTTATTCGATATGCAAAATTCGCAAATAAGCAGCAACTTTCCATTCTACAACATAACAAATTGCCTGTTGATCTAGATTTATTAATTTTCTAGATGGATGGAATGTAAAAAACGCAAAGAAATCTGTATATTTCAGTTTTCAACTTTATGGACTAGTTTCCATTCTCGTTTAATTGATGGACTTCTGCAATGACTCTTTGTGGTGAAATCCAAATGTGCCCCCAATTGCCACTATAAAGGATGACAACCAGTATTTATTGATTCAACTAATCACTGCCAAGAAGCTTCTACCTTTCAAGTCAATATTCATCACATTATAAAAACAAAAATATGATAACTCACCCAAGTAACCAAGTACACCGGTAAACCAATCCCAGATGAACATTTTTCTGGAAAAATTATTCATCACATTATAAAAACAAAAATATGAAAACTCACCCAAGTAACCAAGTACACCGGTAAACCAATCCCAGATGAACATTTTTCTGGAAAAAAAATAGGAATTGTAATGGAAAATACAATACTTAGGTATTAATTCAGATTGGAAAAGACACATTGTATACAGGAGGACAGAAAACAGGAACACCTCAAATACAGAAGGTTTGCGAAGTATCCATTATTCAAAGACATTCTCACATATCAATCCAATAATTAGTTAGAAAATATTATGTTTTTAATCTTCAAAGCATTGAATTATAGTCAGAGCATAGACATGGACAAAAAAGCAGCTAAAATCTCTTTGCTGAATTTGATTGGAGTTTCAAGTTCTCTGTTAATATAAAAAACGATCTGTTAAAGGAAGAAGAAAAAAAAACAAAAAAAATATTGAATAAAACTCCTTAGAAAATGTGTAGATGAGCCACAAACGCGTAAACAAACAACACAATCAGAATTAACAAATTGCGTCAACAAGACGCAAGACAAGACATGGGAAATTTTTTCTTCGCCCAATTCACCCTAATTTATATGAAAAATGCTTCATCATTGGAGTACTGAAATCAACTTACGTAATTTGAACTAACGTTGGAAACGACCAATTATCCCACAAAAAATATGTAAAGTTGATATTCACTACAGAAAAGTCTTTAAAATCGCCCAATTATTATTTTAAGAGTTTTTTAATTTGATAGTAACAGTTCTGTTACTTATGGTTGACAGTAAAGGAGAAGTTGGCAGAATGACGGATAAAGGCGACGTGTAAATTGCGATGTTGCAGAGTACTTTTAAGAGAATCAGGAATGGAGAATCCGAATTTGCGTGACCTTGAGATAAAAAAGGAAAATATACTATAATATGTGTCTGTTTTTCCATTAACCAGCTGTAGCTCTTTACGAACAACAACCCTCAGAAGTCGAATCTTGTGCGAGCTTGAGATTACCAAGGTCTTACATTTCAACGTGGGATTCTTAGCTCGGATTGAACGGTAGGGCGGCTACCGGTTACCGTTTCGCCAACAGACACGGAGAAAGAACAGATTTGGATAAATAGACTATAGTAAACAATTCAACAAATTCTTCTTCTTGTGAAAAATACTGCATAGAGAATTTATGTTCTGACTTGCAATGTATAATTTTTTCCTTGTGTTTGACTTCTGAATTATAAAATTTAGATGTCGTCCTCCTGGATATTCTTTCCAATTTTAAAAATATATTGTGGATTGGGAAGAATGTCCACCGATGTTGGCGCTGCTCAAACGATTAACAGTTGATCGGAATAACTGATTGGTTCACTCTTTAGGTGTTTCTTTGTTTTGAGTTGTTTTATTGTGAATTTCTGGGAGTAACGTTTTTGGTTCGATTATTATAGACATGGTAAATTTATGAATAGGTAAAATAAATCACTTCCTACCACGGAAGCACAAATAATTACAATATATGAAAACAGCTGACAGGACTTTGTTTTACCATCTGTCTTAGTTGTAATCTGTCCGATAGACGTCGCAACTGGAACATTTACACCATAGAACACATTTAAATGACTACTAGTTCTGTGATTCACACACAAACGAACAAACTTAAAAAAATTGTTTGATTTTTATTGGGTTAGGATTTAATTTAGCAAATGTTGAATTTGACTTTTGCAGATATTTCCAAATCCCTATGCTCAGAGTCTGCAATTCTGTTTATCTTAGTAGGTATTTATGTCTCACATCCATAGATATATGGGTTAGATGTTAGCTTGAAAAATGTGTGTGTATATTTTGATTTCAGTTACTGAAATGTTACAGAATTTTCAATTTTAGGTGTCCGCCAGAAATCCAATATCTTGACAAAAATGAGTATCGCCAATCCTATTGAGAAATCCATAGAAAACAAGCTGAAAAATCAACTGGGAGTTCAGCACTTAGAAGTTATTAACGAATCTCACATGCATAACGTTCCTAAAGGTTCCGAAACACATTTTAAAGTTGTGGTTGTTTCTGAAAAGTTCACCAATATTCCCTTAATCAAGGTGGGTATATAAAATTAAATAAATACATACCTTAAAGCCATAAGAATGTTTGTTTTAGAGACACAGAATGGTGAATGAAATTCTGAGTCACGAACTACAAAATGGTGTCCATGCTTTATCAATAGAAGCAAAAACACCTGCGCAGTGGCAAGAGAGCGATAAAGTTATAGAACCTAGTCCAAATTGTAGAGGAGGCTTCGGAAAATGAATGTGATTATTAAGTTTTGTTTTTAATAAAATTTAGGCTTTGTTTGTTGTCGTGGTTTTGGGTCTAAATTATCCATATTCAAAGGTGCCATATCTGCATAATTTTGATATCTGTATAGTGTAAAATTTCAAATCATCAATTATACAAATTGAGTAAGTTACAAGAACTTAATCAATTAGAATCCAGACATCACCAGAAGATGGCAAATGAGGCATATATATATATACCTGTCCGGTACTAACGAGGGGCAGGTGTCCCGAAACTGGTATATCGGGTCGCCCCAACCAAATGAAATTAGTTTCTGCTTTTCATTGCGACGAATTTTCCAAATGGAAGAAGTTGTACAGGTGCCTGATGGTGTTACTTCAGCTTTCTGAGCGGCATTAGCTGTGTTAGATGTCGTTTTTCCGTCTGATATCTGCCACACGTACCTACAAAGTTGCAGGTTCGCATGAGAATCAAGGGGTGAGGTGGTTTTTCACCTGAACTTGGGCATGTCATATGCACTCCTCCGAAATATGTTTATTAGTCTGACTCCTACCCTGGAGGGTTTGTGGAGTCGTTGCAGAGGTGCGTGTTGGTGATGTGGGACGTTAAGATTCGTGATTTATGGATAAAACAAGCTTCTCAAGCGAAAAATTGGATTTTGCCTGAGCCCGAAAAACGACCTTTCGCTGAAATAAATACAGTACTGTTATACCTTGTGTACACTTTATTCACATTTTGAAGTAACACTCTGAAGTCAAATGGTTACATGTGGGAGTTCGCGTTGAACAGACGATGATGATTCAATCTGAACTTCAACATTATATTTATTTTCTCATCTTATGTAAAAAAAAAATCTACCTTCATCAAATACGTTTTTTTGCACAAATACAACGAATGCAGTCAACTATTTCAACCTTTTACCAAAAAACTTAACATTTTTTTAAAAAATTAAACACAATACACGAAATGAAATAAAATCGTTAATGTCAGAGAACAAAGCTATCCAGCCGCAACTTCCCTTCGTTTTCAGTTAAGTAGATAATATCGGCCAAGGTCTGATCGCTGATTGCTTCTTCCCCCCTTTCTGACATCTGGGGAAACATAAAAAGACATATATTTCAAAACAGAACAGTGAAAGTCGCAAAAAAATCAAATGTTCCATCGCTAAGCTCATAAACGAAAGCAGCCATTAATATACTCACCGCCCTATAACTGTACTTCTCTGTGGAGGGAGGGCATTTGAAATTGGGGCCGAAATTCACGGACACCGTCACGTTTCTATGTAAAGAAACTGTGGGGTAGTACGAACCCCGATAAATACCCTCGAAAGCCACCCCCTGGCTGTTTCCGTTCTTGAAATAAATGATCTTGCTGCCCTGAAGCGTTTCGAGGGATTTCAGTCTCTCCTGAACGTGGTCTTTGTCTTCGTAGTAGAGGTGACTTTTGAATTTAACCAGCGGCTGCAACAAAAGATTCGTTATTACATTGAAACTTGATAAGTGCACCGGAAAGGATCCATCAGAATGGATTTTTGAGTTCAGTGGCCGGTGATAGTGTGGATAGCGTTCATACGTTGAATTCATTCACATTGTATTTGCTTGAGGGAAATTTCCAGAATTTATCAAACCCTCTGCCGTGTTTCCTATTGATGAAGGTAGTTTGTGCAGCAGATCCAGCAAAATTTCGAAATCATGCCTTAGCTAGCCACCGTATTCACCAGATTCAGTCCCCTGCGACTTTCTCCCGCTTCCAAGATTCAAGAGACCCATGAAAGGGTCAGCTCATTTTTTTTCAACAGACTTCTAGTTTCTTTTATAACTCCAAAGTTTTCAATCAGTTATAGTGCTTAATATAATTATTAGTTTGTACCTAGACCGTAGATTATTATTAAACTGAAAAGTGTCTGAGAAGTTGATGAAAAGTTGCAATTTTCGGAGCTTTAGAGGGGTGTAAGTCTGGAAATAAGGGAGAGCAGTAATTTTTCCTTCCAGATTCGTAATTTACACGTCAAAATCCGTAATTACACCCAATTTTCTTTTCAAAATCGGAACGTGCAGCCTATCCAAACTCAAAACAAAAATCCTTACGCAATCAGTATTTTTCTTGCAGACAGAAAATGTAAAATAGCGATTCCTCCACTCACCCTATCTTTGTACGTGTTCGGCGTCAACATAGTTTTACTATTTTGAGGCAAGACTATCATGAAACCAAGTGTATCTCCTTCGCTGTTCTATAAACCAGAAAGTTTTCATTTTGGCGAATAGATGGCAGTACAGTATCTTATTAGAAATCTTCAACCAACAAAAATTAATTGATTCGTAACGATTTCCCTGATTGTATTATCAAAAATAATGGTTTCGTGAGTTTGAATAAGTGAAGAACGTAGATTTTATTACATAAAATTCGGATGTACTCATCATTTAGAATAGATCAAGCAATAATGTCGATATATCAAGGAGGTTTCGTACAGCGCCATCTGCCCGCGAATAGATCAATCAATAACGTCGGTAATTCTGTCAAATACAGATCCCGAGCTTGAAAGTTATAAACAAACATACATACAGGTAAAGCTAATATAAAACGTGCAAAAAAAAGACATACCTGCCTAAAAGGTGCATGCGGATCAGGCTCTGCTAGCAAATACCTGTACCCATCTTTGTTGAACGGGTGATCCAGGGGGTACCCGTGAGCAGGAAGCTTGGGAGTGCCAACGTCTGAGCCCCTGCCCTTCTTTCCTTGGGTTCCTAAATCGCCAGGAAGTTTCCTTTTGGCGTTTCTGGATTTAACGCCGGAATTTACTGGAACTGAAAGTCCACATAAAATACGCTGAATTGAATCATACAGATGAAGGCATCAGCTGGTTATTTTATACGGCGTACCTCAAGGCTCTATTCTTTTCTCTTCTATACATACATTTGACGTCAACACTAAATTAGTTTGATGAGTTGAAATTATTTTTTCGTGTCAAAGCCTTTGTGTCGTTTTACTACGGCTGAATTTATATAAGTTGAGTTTTAACTTCTAAAATCTCACTATACTACTTTGTTTTTAATTGTTTCATTATCAAACATGAGACACTTTGAATTTTTAGGCTTTGAAATTGATCAAATTTTGCCATATAATACTTACACATGTTCAAACTCTGATTTAAAAAAACGTCACAAGTTATTACAATTCAATATCTGAAACTCAGTTATTTAGTTCTTGTTTGGAGTAGTGACGAAAAATAAGCCTTCCAACCGATGGAATCATTACAAACTGAAGCCAGTAAAACATATTTACAAATTAGAATTCCTAGAACTGACAAATAAATGACACACACCCAGCTATCTGGGCGTTTACTTGTTCAAAACAAAGATAAGGCTTCCTCTGACAAAAGCATTATAATATTTCTTATACCATCAACTTCTATTGACATAACTACTTTCCCAGGAAATCAAATTATTGAAAAAAATTGAAATAGGTAAACATTTAATACTTATACTCTATGGTAATAATAATTTATAAGCAAACTAGGGTGGTTTTCACAATCTGAAGCACTATTTATTTCTGCTCCTTTTTGTAACAACTCTTTATCCTGGATTTGTCAACTTTTTAGTTAGCGCTTCTGCTTTGGTTTAGCAACATTACAAAAACAAGCCACGGACCAGGTCTAACCAACTTCAAGAAATAATAGCGACCGCTATAGGACACTGCCAATCTTGGTGAATCCACCAATATTATCGCTCGTTTTTAAAAAAATGACTGCTTAGAAGGGGATTACAGAACAAGTGATAAAATCAAAGCAAATTCATTAGAAAACAATGAAGACAAAACTTCAGTGTCGAATAGATCAGGAATATTCAAAGTGATTTGTGGCTCTTGCTTAAACTTTATATTGGCCAAACGAGCTGAACTTTTTCTGAAAGAATCGAAGAACACTGCCAATCTTGGTGAATCCACCAATATTATCGCTCGTTTTTTTCTCAGGTACTTTAAATCGTAGAATATATATAAAGCATTCAAAATATACATTTTAATCAGTGTAGACATGTCTGAAGAAGTTATTGTACAGCGAAACACAAGTGTTTTTGTAAAACTGTTCCTAATTTGATGTAATTGTATTTTTTCAGCGTTTATTCAATAGTTCTTCTGTGCATGATGTGCCCATCTTTTTGAAGGTAATGATAAATCTGTCTTCATGGTGAACAAGCACGTGACAAACCATGGACACAATAGTCCACTATCAATAATTTTCAGAGATGCCAATGAGCCGGGTCTAAATTGTTTTTAAATCTCATTAGAAGTATCCAAACATGAGGTCAAAGATTATGTATTTACTATGTAGGTAATGAGATTATATATTAGTTTTTATTTGGTCTTTACTGTGTAAGCCATTAATTATATACAATTGTATTGAAAAATTGTAAAACAGGGGTATCTCGTTTATACTGGTAAATAAATAAATGAATAACTAATCTTTGATGAATAAATTCTATTATGATTATTATTATGGGATTGAGCCTTGAGGTACAACAGAATGAATGTGTTTCATCTGAAAGTGATGTGGTTTTAACATTTGATGACTTCTTGTTAGCTGTAAAGCCTAATTCATTTATTGTACAGTTGAAAGCATGAGATAAACTGCAAAATAAACTCATAAAATATGGTATTTACACAACTATCATACAAAGTTTTCAATAGGATTCTTGATTATTTATAGCCTACCGTTCATAGTACTATTTGGCGGTTAAAATATATGAATGGTAATACAAAAATTCCAAGAATTGAACTGTATGAATTAATATCGACATCGATTTTCACAAACGTCACGAAACCTCAAAGAATCCTGGAATATATCTACAATTTTCAAATAATTAGTAATAACACATATAAAATTATTAACTCGCCTGAATAATCACCTGCATGTCTTGGGTGTGTTAAGGTACTACTACAAGATTACTAAGATCAAGAATCACAAAAGTAAACCCACGAATCTTCACTTACCATGCTGTATACCCATATCTGTAACCTTCAACATCCCACCTTTAATCATAGCCCCGTAATTTGGCTTGATTTGGGACAAATCCGAATTCAGCAGTCCATACATATGACCGTTCGTCGCATTGTCTTCGAATATAAAAAGAATATGGATGTCTTTGATAAGGGCTTTAGTGACGGTTATATGCCACGACTGGGTCACTCTCCGGGATGTGGTCGTTAAAGCCTCCCAATGGTACTCGATGTAGGGTATGATCTCTTTATCTTTGCTGAACATTGTACGGTTGGTTCCCTCTTTGCAGCTGGTTTGCTGAAGGTTTGCAATGGCTGTAACACACATTTGTTGGGTTTCTGTAAAAAAATGTGATTAGTTATTGCAATAAGTTTGAGAAAAAAAACATATTTACGAGCTTGACTCTTCTTGAAACTTTCTAACCCAGTCGGAGAACAATTCTTGCAGAGAAATATGTAGTTAGACATGAATGGAACGAGTTTTCCTAACTGATAACCTATGCATGATTCGTGGTACCACCTCGAACAATTTGCACAAAGGAGTTCTACGATGTTTGGATTCCTTTCTTTACCACTGAAACAGATATCTTACTGAATTTCCCAATCCTTTGGGTTCACGTTCTTACCAATAACAACTAGAAGGATACTCGTTTTTCTTTTCACTTTTCTCTACGTCGAATTTCTTCAATCCATTTTCGTTTTCCGAGTTTTCGTCAGTGCTTGGTTTTTCAGAATTTTCAGCTTCATCCAAGCTGGTTTGGTTCGAATTTGAAGACTCATTTTTGCTGAAAGTTTTTCTTGTTTGAGAGAGGACAACTAATTATTGATAAAGTTACCTAAAATCTGTTTCTTCTGCCATGACAAAATATACTTTTTTGAATAAAGGCAAGTTGAGATTGAGAATAATTGACGCTCAGTAGTTTGTTTTGAATTTTTATTTAGACATTTACGTCAATTTCGAATGTATTTCCGGTAGAAGTTTGAAGTTGACAATGAAATTAAACTGACTTATGACGTTTTATAATATGACCTCTGTCGTAAACGTTGTAACTATAACAAAAAGTACTGCTCATTTGAAGTTGAAAGTTTTATCAACCGATATTAGCCCACTGTCTATTCCCTACAGTTTTTTTGGGTAACTTGTTTTTGCATCCATTATTAAATTACGTATTTGAGTAACACTGTATTGTGAGATTCCCACGAAAGAGTTTAGAAAACCGCAAAATGTGTTTCACGAAACAGTACTTCTTCAGGCATGTTTATACATTTCATGTATGTGACGCCATCTGTGGGATTGACAGAAGACTCAATCCATGAATATCATAGAATGTCATAGATGAACGAGGCAGTTAGTTGCAAAGTCAAGCTTTGACATCGACCATAGAAATTATAATATAATAATAATAATAATTTATTCACAGCAATATAAGGGTACAGATTGTGAATAAAGTAATACTACGGAAGCAGTACTGCCATAATTCGTTTTGAATAATTCAATTATCATCGAGAAAGGAGAGATCTTCATTTCGAATATTAACTACCAGTTTCATTATTATTTAGTAAAGCTAATTATAAAATAATATGTTTCAACACGAAAAATCAATGTTGGCGACATTGCCCCCAATTCTAATTATATTTTGAATAAAGGCGCGAACTTACTAAACGACAACGGGTGCTTAGACACAGCCTATCAATAATCAATTTAATATTCAAAATGTTTTGATTTATCTTATCTTGTTTATTATAGTTCCAAGTTTCATTGCATTAAGATTCAGTCTATATATTTATTGATTTTATTAGGTTGAAAAACCTTAAAGCTTTTGAGTATCACAATTATCATTTAATCTATCAATGGTAGGTTGTAATATCTCATCAAATATTTAAATAGTTGGGTGACTCTCAAGTTTCAGATGACGACGACCTTTGCCCTAAGCCATTCGAAAAATTCAAGGCTAGTTGTTGCTAGTCTCATACGAAGAATGTCTTCTGCTCAAGATGACGTTATTTTTCAAGACGTGGGAGATAAGGGGGTCATCATACTGAATAGACCAAAAGCCTTGAATGCTTTGAACCTATCAATGATTAAAAAAATCGGCCCAAAGATGAGAGATTGGGAATCTGAGAAAAAACTTGTCTTAGTAAAGGGAGCAGGAGGAAAGGCCTTTTGTGCAGGGGGTGATGTGAGAGCTGTAATTGAATCTCATCAAAGAGGTGAAACATCATGGAGAGACTTTTTCAAACTGGAATATGCAAACAACGCACGTATTGGATCCTATAAAATACCATATATCGCCCTTATTGACGGTATAGTTATGGGGGGAGGTGTCGGGCTTTCTGTTCATGGTCATTATCGAGTAGCTACAGAGAGAACTCTGTTTGCAATGCCAGAAACCCAGATAGGGTTTTTCCCAGATGTTGGAGGCTCCTATTTCCTGCCCCGGATGAAAGGGAAGCTTGGTTGGTATCTGGCTCTAACCGGACAGAGGTTACGAGGATCAGATGTGCTCAGAGCAGGTATCGCCACCCATTTTTGTGAGAGCAAACACTTGGATGATCTAGAACAGGCGCTGTTGACTTGCTCAAATCGTGGGGATATAGACACCGTCTTGAGTAATTTCGAACAAAAAGAAGTTCCCCCGTTTTCTTTGGAACCAGTTTTGGCTAAAATAGACAAATGTTTTTCTGCTCCTAGTATGGAAGGAATAGTTTCGAATTTGAAAAAAGATGGCTCCAGTTGGGCCGAAGAAACTCTTAAAATTCTGGATAAAATGTCGCCAACTAGTTTGAAGGTTACGTTGAGGCAGCTTGAGGAAGGAAGCAAAATCAACTTGGATGATTGCTTGGATCTTGAATATACCATATGTGTGAATTTCGTTAAGAATAAAGATTTCGCTGAAGGTAAGCCACCAGTTTGGTATTTAATGTGTTATCATATATATTCTGGAAGATTTTTGGTTAAGTGCAAAGATATTTCCTATCTTGGCACTTGTGCTTTACTTACCTGTCCAATTATTAAATTGGAAACAAGTATATGTTGCATAATTTCAACAGGGATTTCTTCTATATCGAATTGTCCAGAGTACTTAATCCATAAGATATGCCACATTTGACAGAGAATTGTAACGCGCGGCATTTCGCTTCGAGAGATTGGTAACACTGTTGACATACCAAAACTGACAGAAGATGTGTGAAAATACTCTAACCTTCGGTTTTGATACGTCAACTGTCAGTACTGGTGCGTCAACTTTAAACTTGTCAGTTGTAAGTTTAACGTGATCATCTTAAACGTCAAAAAGTAATGTTTCATTACTAAAGTAACGCCAGGAACAACACTGAAGCTGATATTGAGCTGTAAAAACCGTTTCAGTGACAACACAATTTGTATGATAACATCAAATGTAAATGAAGTGCATTGTTTCCAGTGCTTTATATATTATTTGACTTCCAATTTTATCATTTGTTCGTAGCCGTTGTTTCTGCTTTCATCAACACATTATTGTTTTACTATGAAACTATTTTCAGGTGTTCGAGCTCTCTTGATTGACAAAGATCAGAATCCAAAGTGGGATCCTCCAGCCATAACCAAAGTTTCTGATGATTTTGTGAATAGTCATTTTGAAAAGGAACAAGATGTTTTCAAAAATAGGTTGTAATTGTAAAAGACAATAAATTAAATAATAATTGACAGTTATTTTCAATTCTTTTTTATATATCGAAAGATTATTTGTAATAAAAAAAAGAAAGGACCAGAAATTCCATCCATAAAATGATCTTAAATGGTAATTTTCTAGGGATTCATGCAGAACTGAGTTATAAGTTGTGTCATCAATTTTTAAGGAAATCGCGTATGTTTCTTATGGGAGACTTGTA